TTCTTCTCACTCGTAGTACGTTCCCTATGCGTCGAAACGTCCAACGTTTGCGGTCGATTGCCAACTTTCGGGGATGGCGCCACAGTAGTGGCCGCCGTGGCAGCGACGACAGAAGCCGTCGGCATTTTGGCAAACATCGTCTCAGCGGCTTCCAACGGTGAACGTTCTTCGTCCATCGAATCATCCACTACAACACAACACAAACCACATACTAACACTAGAACGTTCACTTCACATCACTATAGAGGCATTTTGGGAAACCTACTGACTATTCAGCAATCTAGGCACATCATGAGGTTGTACACCTTTTAGAATTCCAGTACGGCGCTTCAAAAAAGTTTCGCCAGGAGTGCCAAAAAAGAGTCACCAACAGAAAGATCCAAAAATTTGAATAAAGAAAATGTTTGCTAGTTGACGATGGGAGTGGAGCAACTCCCACTATGTGCACTATTTCACCCCCACTTACAGTATTCGATCAAGACTGCAAAGATAAGCTTGTTCCAGACAATATGCGATGGAAAGAAGTTGTTTATTTGTGAAGTACGAGAGCCTTTGACGAACGAGTTGAATGGGTTATGGGCTTAATCAATTCTTTACGGATTTTCAGAATTTTTTCGAGCCTGGGCTGTTCATGGAATAGAGGCGCGCTTGTATCGCGTCTTCACAGTCAATTAGAACGCGGGTATACAACCTCGATGAATTCTTCAGTCTAACAAAGGAACAGCTTCTTCAAGGTCCACAGAATGGCTGAAGCCTACCAACTTCTTATTCATTTCGTATAAAATGATGCTAGGAGCTCGCTCATTTTTCCGCATCGGTTAAATGTGAGCCCGCTGGAAGTCGATTTTACGCGATTTTCATCAGAATAAAGGGGACAAACTTAAATGCGGTTCAGCTTCAAAACCGACCGCTCCCCTTCGGAAACACTTCAGAAATCTAACTTTCCCCCACACAGTATTCGTCGAGATCAGCTTCGAACCTTCAATCCCAATTGATAGCTACGTACCAGATACATGTTGTATGGGCGGCGGAGGTTCACGTCCTTCCACACAGACGTCTGGCATCGCTTGAATTGAACTCTCAACACGTAACGTCGATTTCCATTGACGCATTCTCATCATAAAACGATGCTGTGAAGCGGCGAATTTTACGAAATATGCGCTTCTGAAAGGATTACCGTAGTTTGTCAATTGAAGAACGATATCCAAAGGCACAAAATTATCAAATTCTCAGAAAAAATTAGAAATTGAAAGGAAAAAAAGAGAA